TAAGATATTTTCAAGCCTCTAGTTGGCAGTGTTACAAAATTTCTTAAAACCACTCCCCCTTCTTCCCCCTTAAAAAAGCCTAAAAAAACCGAATATATATATATATATATATTTAATTTAAAGAAGAAAAAAAAACTAAAGGGGGCCTCTATTTTATAAAATATAAACAGTCAAAAAGGAGAAAAAAGAACTAATAAATATAAAAGAAAAAACCAGTCTACTTAACATAGAAGTTCAATGAAAGAAAAAAAAAAGGTAAAAGTAAAAAGCCAAGCCTCACTTTGACATTTCTCTTTAAAAATCGCCGCTAAGTCCGTTTTGTCAAGAATCTTACAGATTTCTTCTCATTCTTAGAGTGTCCTTTAGTCCCAATATTAATATTTAAAAAAAAGTCCTCACCAAGCCGATACACTTTCTCTTACGATCTCTTCCTTCCGGAGCTGTCCCAGCTTCAGCAGCTTAATGGCTGCCTCCCCGCCGATGGTAAAAGGGCTTCTTCTGGATCAACCAGGGACTTGCGATGTCCCTGGGATCTACAGAACGCGCCCCTTACTATCACCATCTCTACGGGATGGTTTAGGTCCGTTGAGACCGACCAGGAGCGGGGATATCAGCTGCGATCTCAGAGCCCTGAGATAGCAGCTGTATCGCAGCGACGAGGCTCCGCCTTCCACCCTGAAACCAAATTTTTTATTGGAGAGTAAGTTGTTTGACTCTAGGTGGAAGGTAATGCATTGATTAATAATTGATTCCATAACTTTGCACATGACATAACACAATGAGATTGGTCTGTAGTTTTCAACCAGGCAGGGCTCACCTTTTTTGAAAATAGGGATGACCATTGCTAAAGACCATAGGTTTGGTAAGGAGCTGGTTCTGAATGATATCTCATATATTATGCTTAGGGGTTTTGCTATGGTAGTGGACAGCTTTTTTAAGAAGGCACATAAGCCATCAGGGCCAATAGATAAGGATGGTTTTAGGTGGCGTAGTGCATTTTCTATGTAGTGCATTTTCATTTACTAGAATATAAATCCTATTATATTCATTAATGTTATCCAAAGAATCCGGGACTGAAACATCAAATCCACATCTCTGGATCAAAAACATTTTCCCATTAAACATTTGAAAACTAGCTAGAACAATGGTCGCCAACTGGTGGGCTGTAGCCCACAAGAAAATTTTGGTGGTCCACAGAGAAATGTCACCCCAGCACCCCCCATAGCAATTAATCCAGGTTGCGTGGGAACACAAGGCTGCTCCGCCCACATGGCCCATGGGAACTGTCCCCACCCATTCACTCTTTACCTGGCAAACTTGCCTGCAAAGTTGCTGCTTTTCTTTTTTTTTCCCCCGACCATCAGCTGTTCTGCTGTGCCGGGAAATTTAGATTAGCTAGAAAGCAGACAATAGTTGGATTTCTTGCTTTCTAGCTAATCTTAGATCTTCAGAACATCCCTTAGGACTAAAGGTTCTATTATTCAGTGCAGACTCAGATAGCCGATGGCAGAAACACAGATCTCTAAGTGAATCTGTGATTCTGTGAGCAACTCAATCTGCCTGCCTGGTTTGCCTGATTTTGAGTAAAAGTTGCTCTTTTTTTAATAAAAAATTCAATATTTACATACATGGTGTGTTGTGAGTTAATTTTGTGAGTTTGCTTGCTAGCAAATTTTATGTGACTCAGCCAATGGCAGAAAGATAAATCTCTGAATCTGTGATTCTGTGAGCAACTCAATCTGCCTGCGTGCTTTGCCTGATTTTGGGTAAAAGTTGCTCTTTTTTTATAAAAAATTCAATATTTACATAAATATTTATAATATTTACATACAAGCCATGTACAACCAGTCACATGACCACCAAGCCACACCCACATTAGGCCATGGCCAAGAACCGGTTCAGAAATTTGAATCCCACCCCTGCCTCTGTGTTTGTGTGTGTGTGTGTGAGAGAGAGAGGGGGGGGCAGGAGAGAGGGAGGGAGAGAGGTTAGATCAGATCTCTCTCCTTCCCTCTTCCACCAATGTCAGCAAGCCACTGTCAGTCAAAATACATATTAGTGGTGCCTGGGATTTACAATTATGAGTTTGGTGGTCCCTGAGGTCCAAAAGGTTGGCAACCCCTGAGCTAAAACATATAAAACTGAAGTAAAAACATTTTTGCTTGCATCCAACATATTTTCATCTTCATCATTATTCAAGCAAATTTGTCCAGTGGGAAACTGTATAAATTAAATTATGTAATGCTCTATCCATCTTCAATAAATCTTACTGTTCTGTTGCATTGAATTCTGATTAGCCATTTAACCAAATGTACTAGCTTGATTTTTTTTGTTGAACTGTATGTTTTAAGTTACATAATTTAATAAATCATTTTGTTTAATTTTGTTTCAGTATCTGTATAATTTATTAAATGCTACAAGCATCAACATAACCCCGGATTGCCTTGACTTTTGTGACATGCATAAATTTAAGTAGAGAAGTAAACTTGCAGGTGAATTATACAAAGATCTCAAGGAAATAAGACTCCTGCTGAAGTTTTTGTAACTCCATTTTCTAAATATAAACAATTGTAGCAAACAAATAAAATTAGTAAGTAGGAGGGAAGACCCCCCCCCCCCAGAAGAATGAAAGATTTTGAGAAATAGTAAAAAGACAGAATTTTCCTAAAAGAGGAATGGAGAAACATGCTCTTGGAGACAGAAAGAGACAGCCCCCACCTTTCTTAATAGCCCCCAGGAGATATTTTTTGCCCATTAAGAAAGA